ACATGTCGTATATCATCAAGTGTGTCACCTGGTGATGTCCGAGAGCCAGTACGTCGGCCAAGACACGGTGGCTTTGCAAGAGGCTACCGTTTCAGTCACTCGTTTTGGTACCCGCTTTGTTGCACCTAGATCAAGCGTAGCAAAAACGGTTGTCGCGAGGACGTTAGTTAGTAGTGATCCCGTATGGCACAAGATCTGCCAAACAGAAAGAACATGGACCAAGGCAAAGGACATACTACTCAAAATTGCGGGCACGTTGCCTTCATATTTCCCAACAAGGCATGGTGCGCCTAGGGGACTGTTTCAAGAGTCTGCACAGACCAGGTACCAGAGAGTGCTTCTGACCTTTTACTTGGATAGTTTCGTAAACTTTCCTCACGGTCTCCTCATATCCCATTTTCGCGACGCACGAGGGAGGGACCGGTGCACGTGGCCCTGAACGAAAGAGGCGTGCTCGAATCAGGAGGGGTTGCGGTTGGAAACCGTGGGGGGCACTGCACTACTAGAACGTTCGACCACCACTCATAGCACGAAGCGAACACAGCCTGCATAGCCACTGTAACTTCATTGGTTACGCGGTTGCAGAGCAGTTAGTAAACTCCACGGAGGCCTCGATCATCCTGGCGATGGCCAAAATATACTTGACATATGTACATACTGCAGCACGACTCACGTCTGAGCTCTTCGCTAAGCGCCTGGCGAATGGCCGAAGCGGCCTCCTCATCAAGACGGCACTGCCCGACAACGTCTATCGGCTTCTGACCGTGGTAGCAAGGCTTGTCTCGATCAACACCGTTCTCCAAAAGCCAGCGAACGACATCGAGCTGGTGCCGGGTGTACGATTTGTCTGTGTTGTCATCCCATCTATCTTGACGTCATTTTACATATTTGGGTACGATTGAACGCATCGTCAGCTAGGGTCAATCCGGAGGAACGTTCCAAAAGAAATGTATTTGACCCTGTCCAACCCCTTCCTTGTGCGATTTGTGTGCAGCGGTGTATCGACCTTGGTATCTCTTTCAGCACGCTTTCACATGTTGCATTAAGCTGCATTCTACCTGCTGGCCTTGGAAAACGGAGGTCCCACGAAACGAGTATCTACTGTGGAACTACTGCTGTACAAAATTCGAAAATTCGAGTTTGATACAGAATATCGGGCTTCAGGTTAGGTCGTGGCTTTGGCTGGTTTGGATGTAGGCGCGCACGCATTCGCACCATCGAAATTAAGTCCAAACCTACTTCATCAATAGGAACATGCGACACGATCAAGCCCAGTAAATACTGCCAAGGCAAGGGCTGCAATGGCATCAATCCCTCGAGCAATCTAAGCACAAAAGGATAGAGCCACACACAGCCAATAGAGCACCCACCTGACAAAAGGATGCAGCGATATACAGACAGGTTGCCTCCCCGAATTCGTACCTGGGACATGGCGTAAGGAATGGCCCGTCCAGGACGTTGGGTTTGCTTTTGGTGACTCCCGAGATTAGATTCTGCGTATCTGCGAAACTCCAAACTACCTGAGCCCGAGGCACACAGACTGCACGACTTCGCTGTGTTGACCCTGTTACCGACAGGGGAACGAGTGCACGGCGGAGCTACCGCTGCGATGTGGGTTGCGTGGGGACATTGACATTGGTGCACGGGCCGGCACCTTAAGTGAAGACGTTCGATCAGCTTACTGCGTCTGACCGATAATGATCACCAACCCCGGGCGATGGCATTCAACCAAATAGGAGTATCACAGCACGTAAAATGGTAGTCTCTCGTGTCGATGGATCTACCGATAGATGCTGCTGTGGCACGTGTCTCGAGTGCAGACAAAAGGAAAACAATTGGTAGGAGAAGGGTCGACTCGGACGCGAACCTACCATTTGAGGAATTCCCACTCAAACATGCCATCAGTCATCGCGCTCGAGCATTCCACCCCATCGCTGCCTGCCTCTGGTGGGAAGGTGCTGGACGACGAGCCTGATAATGTCTCATGGATGGCATTGGGGTGTTCGGCGGCGGTGCCCTCAATGAATTCTACGTTGCCATCTCGGACAGCTCGCACGAGCTGCACTCGCCAAGATCGGTCTTCCATGTCCCTTCATGCACTACTCACTGCTGTTGCCAGTGGAAAGCTTTGGAGCTCTCTGGTCAGTGGTTTCGTGTCTCGCTGCTACCAGTGGAAAGCTTTGGAGCTCTCTGGTCAGTGGTTTCGTGTCTCGTTGATCGAGCGGGACTGTCGTCGGTTTCAGATAATTACGCCTCGGCGATTGGAAAACCTGACAGTCCCGAGAGGGAGATCAGAGCAGAGGGCAGAGAGAGCAGAGAGCAGAGAGCAGAGCGCAGAGAGCAGCAGAGCAGAGAGAAGAGTTAGCTAGTTTCCTGGGCTTCACCGCCTCCCAGCCTCACAGCCTCACCCCAATCATCCTCGTGCACACTGCAAGGTCAAGAATGATGTCAAGGGTCCCGCCTGTGGTGCTCAGAAAACGGCGTGCTTTCTCTTGTCGTTGTTGTCGGTTCAGCTTTCCCAGAGCTTTGCCGAGCGAGAATACGTGAAAGTGAAAGGGTTGCGCGTCCTCGATGACGTTACGGTAGCAAGACTTCGGGTAAGACTACCTCTCCTCTTCCGAGGCGAATTCGACACCGGAGTTTGTCCCGATGAGATGCACTGGCGGGAAGGGATATCGAGGGACGACGCACCGCGCGAGGTAGGGCGGCGGAATGGTATGGTGTGTCGACACATGATGTTTACGGCTCAGTCTGCCTGTACCCATATCTCCCAATGTACTGTAAGACCTCTCCGTAATGTTATGGTTTATTCAGATCGTCAACGCGTGGAAGGCAGATCGCACGGTGGCCTCAGTGGTGCTGAGCGAGTACCTCGGAAGGCTCGCTGCTTCGCTGGCAGGGTGGGACTCGGCTCGAGTTGCACAGGACGATGTGGTGTGGAAACCCCCGATTTCTGGGCCTGTTGGTTACCATCAAGATTCGGCGTACATCAGCAAGCAATTTACTCCGGTGGGTGGCCGCTGAACATTTTCACGGTCTTGATATGCTGTAATTCCCAAACTATGCAGTCTCCTTGATATGAAATGGTTCTACAGTCAGTATAATTATGGGTTTGCTCATCGTTTAGGTGTCAAATTACCCGCGGCGAACTAACGTGGAATAATTCTAGCGTACGATACAAAGTAGTACGAGGTTAGTTGCCTCGCCAGATCCCCCCTTCGTCAGGAGCCATGAACGGCGTATAATCGCTGAGCCAGAGGTTCGAAACGTGGTCGTCTTTTGTTTGTGGTACTTGGATATGTATCCTATCTGTGCGCCCTCTGTTGTGGACACGCGTATGGGAAGTATGGTTGTGGTCGGTATGTATGCGGTTGGGGTCCAAGTGCGCCACCCCCGGGGAGAGCACACGCCGGTGTGCTCCTCTCACTCGCCTGAAGGGTGAGCGCTCCAGTTGTAGTTAGTGTTATGATACCCGCTTCTTTGTGGGGCTTGCACGAACGTGTGATCTACTTGTAATACATTAATAATTTTCCTTCATTTACCGATCCTGGGATAACTTAGCACCCAGTCTCAACAACCAACCGCTGACGGCGGTAGCGCCACGAAACATATGCATTGACTATTGCTATTGTCTGAAACTTTTCGGCAGGCCATCAAATTCCTGAAAGTGCCCATTCTCATTGCCGTCCCCACTTACGCCTGCATGTATGTGATGTATATGCATCTTTTTGGCTGCCCCAGAGGGCGAACAACTCTTTGACGATGTGGATTGCGTTGGATGACTGCGATCGGGAGGTAGGTGAGCGTGGACAAAGTCTGGATGATCGGTACATGTTTCAGGCGCGTTGTTTCTCCGGGCATGATGCCAAGTTCAGCTTGAAGCAGCGTAAACCAAGGAAAATATCGAACCATCAGCACGGGCCGCCTCATCTTGGGCAAACGTGGACACTGGATACCCCCCCTTCATGTGCCGTCCGTGGACAGTCCGGCTGGTTGACTGAGTGTTTATTCATCAGTCCAAACAATCCGCCGACTTCTTGGCGAAACACCTGGGTGCATTATGCCTGCAGGAACGATCGAGTATGCCACAATGACGGCACCACTCCCACCGTCGGATGGGTCGGCGGCCGACTCCTCCACAAGCCGGTCCTCCCTGCCTTCTTAACACGGAGCCGATGCATCCAACTACCGAGCACCGGCAGAGGCGGCTGCTCTAAGCCTCGGGCGCCGGGTTGGGTTTGAGGCGGTCGCCATAAGGTGCGGAGAGTGTGTGGTGCACGCGCAGGACTGCTGGCACGGAAGTGCCCCCAACGTTTCTGCGGAGCGCCACCGTCGTGCCCTAGTGGTGCACTTCCTTAGAGGAGATGCGAGATTCATCGACGGACACGCGCTTCAGGTGACAGTGACAGCATTGATTCCTTGGTATGTTGTGCATTGGAGTGGTACTCAGTAGGCAAGAGGAAATTCGCAGATCGAGAGTTGGATGGAGAGAAATATACGCGAGAGAAATGATCACAAGGCAACAGAGCTATCGCCTCTTTCAATAGCTGTGTGCAACAAGAAGGTTTGCTTTGGAGCGAAAAGCCTCCATTGTGAGTAGCCAAGAACTTTCGAAGTTTTCCAGTGTTGGATACCGGTGTCGTTGTTTGCCATCCTTCCCGGACCGTTTTCCCTGTGCAGTAACATCCTCGTACTGATGTGACATGTGCTGCTCTGTTCTGTCCTGTTCTTCGTTGTTCGTGGCGACCAACAACAACGGTTGCAGGGAACGGGCGGCCCATCGTACATTTACAGCAGGTAACAGGAGCTTAGACAGCAACCGGCTGCCGGAGGAGGCGTTTCCTATCGCCTTTTTCAAAGGACGGATACCGAACAGGGTGGATCGACACCTTCCTGATGCCTTAGGCTATGGTACTTATCTGGCTGTCACGTGTCACGTAACGTGCAGCCAAGAAACAAGATAGTAGTTCACTCCATCCGGAGTTACAGCATGATATCGTGTCTGACAGCAAACTGATTAGGTCTTTCCTGGTCGTCTATGATCTACTCTCGACGCAATCTCTTGTCGACCGACAAAGTTAACAGGGGGTGAACGGAGGTACAGCAGCGGTTTGGCAACAATATTTAGAGTAGTTTGAAGTCCTTTCGACATTTCCCCGTGTGTCAACGGCATGCAACAAAGCGGGTTCCAGACCGGCAGGCAAGGCAACGGGACTCGCGACAAACCCCACGCACACGACGCCATGTTGATATTGATGGGCGGACAACGGATACTTGAATCCCGTCTGCGCGACCCCGACAATTGAGGATGAGCGTTCGGTAGTCAGAATCAGGATTTTCCGCTGAAGCAAGTCAAGCAACATATTTGATGGCTGTGGGTGGAAAAAACATAGGAGCAGCCAGTGCCTTGGATCAACGACCGGGCTCTACTCTGGCGGGAAAATATGGGTGTTCCACTCGAACACGAGCAGCTTCCAGACAATCAACGCCCGGTCGGGTGTGGCCCTGTCAACATCTACCGCCCAACACAGAGCACTACAAATAAGACCTTACAGCAGATGAAAAATCGCCGCCAAGCATGGATGCTACATCGCAGACTCTTGCTGTGACACCGCCCCCAAGCATCACGTTGGGCATGCTTGAACGGTCAGCAGTCGTGGTTCACGGTCCATTGCGGTAGAAAAGCGCACCTCTAGTCCAAGTCTACGTCTATTTCCATTGGTGTGTTCTTTCTTTTGCGCCCATCCGGCATGGTGACCTCCTTGACAACCTCCCTCGACTCCCAGGGTGGCCGCGGCGTGTTCTCGTCCAGCGTGATCCCTCTGGTGGAGTAATAAACGATGAGACGAGGCACGCGCGTTCGCAACAGCAAAATGTGCACCGGCACTTCGTTACGTGGGAACAATCTGCAGAGCGACATGCACGAAAAACGCCCGCGGGGAACTCCCGGGCGTGTGGTGTACAGTCAACAGTTGGCGTCGACGCCAAAAACAGTGTTGCTGGCGTTTCAGCCGGCAGGGTCGAGGATTATGCACTCCGGGATAAGGAGGGACGGGGAGGGGGGGGGGTCAGCAATTACTTCGGAGTACGAGTTGCGGTTCTGCAATCTTTGGGGGTGCAACTTCTAGAATTCACACGGAGTCTGCCAACGCCACGCTCACCAAGCTGTGATCGCCCCCCCCACCAAAAATGAAACGTCACGTTCGCATCGAACAAACGAGTAGACATGATGTTCGTACGTGGGCAGCTAGTACGATATATGTGCGCAGCGAGACAGAGAGATAAATAACTCACGGTCGCGAGATCGACCAGATCGACCAGGTGGTGCAACAACCGGAACTCGCAAAATTATTTCTGGAAAATTGTGCACCAAGTCGGTCCACACGGACACACTCGCAAGTGTCACGCGTTGCCAAACGCAGTAGTGCTGCAGCACAGGATTCGGAAAATCGATGCAACCTACGCAAGACGCAAGTACTTGAGGGTTGGGACGACTCCTTCGCTAACGATCCATCTATCCTGCCCTAACGTTTACATACAAAACACACCTCCGGACAGCCTGCCACGTTCCCATCTTCGAAAGCGGCAGGAACGGCTGCCAGCCCTTGATGACACCCGACAGGTACATGTCGCAGGTGTTGTTCAATAGCTTGGCCGAGAAAATCCGCATGCCGGCCCAGTTGAGGAAGAAGTTGCGGTAGATGGAGATGTCGCGGCTCTTTGTGCGGAGGATCCAGGATCCCTTCCCTTTGTCGAGCCAGACCACTTCGCCGTCAGCCTTGAGAGCGACCTGCGGCAGGCCAGTTGGACAAACCGCACAGAGCGGAGCTTACAACTCGCGACATCTTCCAGCCTCTGTCAACACTCGTCACGGCCTTACAAAACATCGCGTCCGGTGCCATATTTCGGGAATGATCTCTGCTGCCTACGGTACAGAAGCACGCCGAGCCGTCTCCAGTCTACTCCATGGGCTACTTGTACACAAAAACAAATGCTGTACAAACACGTCGCCGAAAACCTCGGCGCCGCCCTGCCGCTCAGAACGCTGACAGCCAGCGAGTGATTGGCGTCAACCCGTAAAAATTGCACACACAATTGCTACGGGCCCCGAGATGGCTCACGGCTGACCTTGGTAGTCTTGACCTCGTACTTGGAGTGGTTCCACTGTATTGCCACCGTCCATGTCGTGTCTTGGAAGTCCTTCGGGAAGTACTTCTTTAACCGCTTCGTGACGCGCTTCTGGGAAACGAGGAGGAGACGCCAGGGCATGACCCAGCAAGGCGCATGATGGGAAACGTTCGGGAGTGAGTCCTATTTCCTCGCCACCGCAACGCATTTCACACCATCGACACGGCATACACCAAAACGCAATCACGTCCCTCATCTTCCGGCCGTCCTTTCCGCCGCAAAGGCTGTTCGGACACGGGTGGAACTAGCGTATCCCCCGACAGAGTAGCCGTCACGACCAGACCCAAAAATATCTCGCCACGCTTCAACCCTGCTAACGTCCTCTAAGTGAGTCTTCAACTGTTGCACAACTGCTGCGAGATCTCCTCTCCAGCAAGAAGCACGTGCACCCAAAAACTGGGAGAGAGCGCAGCTCACCGAAGGTTTAGGCGCGGCGTCCACCTCCTGCGCCTCGTCCTGGTCCCCCGGCTGGTGCGCCAACAGCTCCGCCATTACTTCTTCCTCCTTTCCACTCTGCCCCACGCTAGCCGCTGCGTCCGTCTCTTTCGCTACCGCCGCCACGTTCTGCTCTAACCCGGCCTTCTCTTCCCCGCCCTCCGCACTACTTCTGTCGACCACCGGACTAGCCGGGGCAACTGCTGGCGGTGTGTCGACACCGGCCGAAGAGGAGGCTTTTTTCTCTTGGCCCTCTTGCAGTGCATGTCCTTCGGGCCTTTCGGCAGTAGCTTCGAGTTGTGTGGAGCCTACGGGTGCTCGGGAGGGGCTCCGTCGAGGCTCCACGCCTGGAACACATCAACAACGTAGCGATTGTCACATGTGGAGTTCTGCGTCGAGAGTTAAGGGCCGCTGGGATAGAAGCATGTTGTAACAGCAGTAGGGGATGCCAACGGCTTAATCACGGAAGAGGAGGGAATGTGAGAGACATTATTATAGTCCGTCTCGCCACTGGAAAAGGACGGTTCAATTTCGTGAAACAACGCTCGCGGACGACTAACACTAATTTCACACACAGAAGAAACCCGCCACCAGATCTCACACGGCGCGGAACCACGTAGCGCCAGAAATAGTCAACGTTTTAGGGCAACACCTAGTGAGTGAGTGCAGAGTTCGTAAAACGCGAGTGGTAAGCTGCACACAGCAAGACCAAAGCTATACTGTAGTACACTTTGTCTTCACCTTGTGCGCACGGAGCTCCAACAAGTCCGGGCCTCGCTCTCGCAGGTGAAAACAACGGCAGGAACGACGCCACGGGTCCTGTTTGGGCCGCGCAGCACGATAGGCGGTAAATGTGGAACGGTCAGGTGTGCTGGACAACGAGGATAACAAGAGAGGACTAAGATTGAATCGGACGAGTGCTTGTGGATACAAACGAGGTCCTTCCTACCTGTGGTTGTACAGGCAGGGAGCAAACATGAAAAAATAGCTGTGCCCACCGATCCAACCTCCTCCAGAGATGCACCATGATCGAAATGCACGATGGAAATACGAAACATGAACATCCACTTCAGCGACATGCACCACTCGTACATACGTCAAACCGGTCGAAGACTTCGACCCTCAGGCGAACCGTAGAACTAGCACCTTGGATCTGCAAATACATCCGAGTCCGCATGGTTTCCACCGCCGCACAGTAGAGCTGAACCACTGTAACTGGACGCAACTGTTTGGAGCACCCTCTCTGGAGCTGTTGGCAGGTTGGCAGACACATGAAGTACTTCAAGATACCAAACCTACAAGACGGCTCCATCCAAACAACCGAAGAATCAAGAAGCCCGAAGTTCAGGCACAGGCATAGATAAACCTTCGACTCCAACGCAACATCATCACCCTTTGGTGCACCACGCGCCCAAGTCGGGTGCGAGAGTGTGCGGCCTGCGCAGCACGCCCTGCATCATCACAGCACTACAGAAGAGGCCAGTTGAACATTTGAACATTTCCAGACTGTCTTGGCTACAGCACGAGGCTGTTGGCCTCATCCAAAGGCGTCCCGGTCATAGACCCCAAATGTGAACGCACGGCCTGGGAAGTTGGGCTGGCACACAACATGGGTAACGACGCAACCATGGCCTGCCACAACTTGACCCCCGGCTGGGTTGTTGTCTGTTTCTCACGACGAGATGGGAGATGAGCTGCATGCACAACGGACGGCAGCCGCAAAATGTGTCAGCAGCAAAGTCGCACCCCGACTCACCTGCGGCACAAAACACCACCACGGCACGAATCCGATTCCTGAGATCACGCATGGCTTCGAGCGCACCAAGACGAGCAGGATGCGAGCAGCCTAAGTCGAAGCGGAAGTGTACACAGAGCAGCAAGCTTCACTCGAGGGAGTCCGCGTGATGTTTATTTTCAACCCCCCCCCTCCCCCCTCCCTTCTGCACAAGTTGCACCTCTTGCTTGTTCACGACAGACAGCACACCTTGCTGCACGACGGACTGCACCCACTCTATCTTCCCCTGCGCCAGCTCGATCAGTCAGCACATCGCCCAGTAATATCCTTTAGAAGACAGACAAAGGGTACGGCGAGGGTGCTGGGAAGGTGTTCCATCATTGGTTGGGCAGTATTTCAGGCCCGACCACAGGCAGGACTTGAGCCGGGTGCTGCGGAGACATTTTGGCATTTGGTGCAGAGGGTGGAGGGAGCATGAAGGTGCTTCGTCGTCAGATAAGCAGCAAGGACGGCGATGGCTTCGTGCAGATGAAGACGGAGGAGGCAGAGGACATGTGGCACGCCTACAACCTCATCGCCGACGGGGATAGGGTCCGCACGAGCACCGTCCGCAAGGCACGTATGATGCGTAGGATCTACTTCAGTAGCACTCGATGACCATATGAATCTAAGTACTTATAACCTACACTCATTTGAATGGAAGAGCATCGAAGCAAGAGTCCTTGCATGCGTATTTTGTACAGCAGGACTGCTGTCGTAGTGACACGCGCAGCCATCTCATCTCCGCGTTGGACTGCTGCGTTCACAATTCACTCAGAGCCGTGAAATCGCTAGCGGACTCTAATCAGTTGTCATGAGAACGCGCAGGCCGATGGTTGGATGTATCCTGCTTGGGTAGAGCCAGATTGGTTGTTGTTGTGAAGTCAGCCTCACCCATTAGACTACTCTGTGTTCAGCGGCTGACTAAGTGGTCTAAATGGGTAAGCCTGTCGGAACAGTGGTTGATTTGGGGGAAAGAACCATGAAAACGGGACCCGAGAGCGAGAAACGCGTACTGTCCCCAGCCCGATCTTTTGGACCAATGCCTCCAACATGATACTGCGGTTGCGAACATGTTCATCACGTCGGCGGTGCTAAACACGCTTCGCAAGAACAGCGGCCCATGATCGGGGACGTAGGTAGGACTGGTCCTCCCGCCCCACAGATTTCGCGGAAACGCAATGGTTTTTCGCTTGGAACATGCTGTGTAGCAGTGTAGAAGTTTGTCGTTGTCGTTGGAGTAGTCTAGATCGTGTTCAACGCCACGTTTCGGATATGACCTGGCCCATTTGGGGGTATAGCTCAGTTGGTAGAGCGCTAGAGTAATAGTAGTAGTACCGGCAGTCGTTGTTGTCTATCTTGACTTGTTCAAAGCGTTTCGTTTGTGCAGTTTGCCCCAAGTACAGCAGCACTGCTGCTTTGCTGATGTAGCTGACCGATCGTGAACATACGTACGTACTGGTAGTTGTTACGCCATGCTACTGTTTCGTAGTGGTGCCCAGCTCACCCCAGCTAGCTGCGATGGTCATGACTGTTGATGATTCCCTCCTAAGGTGGTAAACGAGAGCTCGACGGGGTCAACGACGAGCAAGCGGGTCCGCCTGAGCCTGACCATCGCCGTCGAGAGGGTAGACTTCGACTCCGACTCGTGCCTGCTGCGGCTGTCGGGGAGAAACTCGGAAGAGAACCCGCACGTCAAGGTATGACGCGTCCACGCCTGTTGCGAAGACATGCATCATCAGCATCAATGCAGACTCGGCGGTGATGCATACACCGGTTTAGCTGCCAGAGGGTCGGTGGTCATTGCTACCTACCTACAGGGGGATTTTGGTCCTCGGACCTGCATGAGTGGTGGTAATCTGTGCTGTTCACGTGTGGAAGGGCAGACTGCCTTGTGGGATCGCGAGGTGGACGAGCGTTGTGCGACTCTTACATGTACAGTAGCAAGCTCGAGCACCAATGGCTTCGTTCGTCGTTTTTTTCCTCGGCAATGCCTTGGTTGTTGAATAAATGTGCGCGACAGGCCCTCACCAGGACGAACCAGGACAAAGTTCTAGCACTCAAAGCTGCAAGGTACGGCGGTGTTCAATGCAATCGATCTGCTCTTGCCCCCATGAGGGCCCTTACATGTCCCTCCCACCCACCTTCGGTTGCGCCGCAGATCGGGGCCTACCATACATTGGATTTGGAGCTGAACCAAGTGTTCTCGATAGAGAAGGATGTCTGGGATGTGATCCACTTGGAGCGGATAGAAACATCCAGTGATCCCGCCAAGAAGGTATGCACTGCTTCTTTCAACCACGCAGGTACACCCATCACAACCCCTCTGGCTTTCAGAGAGACATGCACGGCATCGTAGCCGTGGAAATCTCTCCGGCGGTGCCTTCATTCTTTGCCGCCTCGACACACGTCAGCGTTGTCATCGGCGCATAACGGCAATCCCGATCAAGATTAGGTATTTCGTCCGTGAGCTAATATCCTTGCTGCAGTGCTGCTTGTGCAAACCTCACCAATGGTGTAGTCAACCCACGTACGATCGGGATTGTCTCTACGCGCCGATGGCAAGGCTGAGTTGCGCCGCAAGATGACGCAAGATGGCAAAGGAGCGGTATCTGTCTCACACTGAATATCCACGTTTTGCCTAGACCTCCAATGGGTATGTATCTCGTGTGTTCTTCAGCGCATCTGGGCAAAAGACCCAAACTTCCAGCAAAGGGAAAACGTAACCATGGATATATCGAAAGGACATATCGAAGACGAAACCATTCCGAGTCTTTTACCGCGTCGGTGAAACCCGCAGGCTGAGGTGGCGGCGGTGGTGATGACGGGAGGGCTGGCCCACGTGTGCCTGGTGACGTCCCACATGACGGTCACGCGGGCGCGGATCGAAATGAACATCCCGCGCAAGAGGGCGGGCAGCTCCGATCACCAGAAGGCCATCTCCCGGTTCTACGAGGCCGTTTACCAGGTACTGTAGGTAAATGCTGCTGCTACCCTCGACTGCTTCGGGGACACTGCAACACGACATGCGGATTGACAATGGTCACGGACATCATTATTTCTCTATGGCAATAATCTGCAAGGACCAGAAACATCATTTCGTACAGCAGGAAACTTATTGTCAGCGGCTATGCATCTACAGCGGCGACTTTTTGACTAATGGGCACACTCCTCCTCATCATGGTTGTCGTGTGTCTTTGTGTCGCGTGGTCGGCAGGCGATCGTGCGGCACGTGAACTTCCAGCAGATCAAGTGCTTGCTTCTGGGCAGTCCTGGCTTCGTGAAGGACGACTTTTTCGAGTTCCTCAACCTAGAGGCGGTCAGAAGAGAAGAGCGGGTGAATGGGGTTGGGTTTGGCTTGCCGATTGCCGCGTGGCGGTGTTTTCGGCGATCAAGAAGCGTTTCACCGTGCGCATCGATTGGCCCATTTTTCCACGACGGAGTTGTTGCTTCCTATTGGCAGCTCTTATGTTGGTTTTGACAGTGACGGGCTGAACAAGTTGCCGCAAGAAAGGCGCAAAGACACTCCGCCGTGTTCTCAGTATTTGCTCGGTAACTAAACTTAACCGCCGTGCAACGCAGTTGGCCGAATCAACAGAGGTAACCTGAACCCGTTTTTGTGTTGTTGACGTGTGTCGATGAAGAAGAAACAAGTTTCATGCATTTCAATTCCTACTGTACCCACACGTTCCACCCCATTGTACACATACGTCGCTCAACCCCAACACGTTTCATAACACGACTGATGAGTAGGTTTTGATCGAGAACAAGTCGAAGTTTGTCCTGGTACACGCCTCCTCGGGACACAAGCACGCCGTAGAGGAGATTCTGTCACAGCCCGCCGTTCAGACGCGCCTGGCGGACACCAAGGCCAGCGAGGAGATCAGGGCCCTGGCAACGTTCTTCGACATGCTCAAGAAGGACCCCGACAGGGCTTACTACGGGTACAACGTGAGCGTGTGGGAGAGCGTTTTGGTTAGTGTAAAGGCGCTTCAAGTGTGACTGACCCCAATGGGTTTGCTGGTAACGTGGAGGGATGTGTCGGTTGGTTGTTCATGGGGTTCCGCAGTGTCAGCGGGTAAAGAGGGGGAGAAGCCACTGCAGTGGCGGTCAAGGCAAAAAGCCGCACCGCACTCGGTCGACCGCTCCGAAGAATCTAGCAAATCCAGAATTGTGTCACTGGTGGTAGATATCGCTTGTCGAGTTGTGCGGTCCAACATTTGAAGCAAATGCTGGCCAAGACTACAGTTTCGTACCCCCACAAACATGTGCCTGCCCTGTAGCAGCCCTGAAGTGCTGTTATGGGTCGTTGAGAATTGCCGTATCGCCATTCCTGCCATGTATTACAGTGAATATTGATGTTTTTTGTATCGGCTTGTTGGTAATTTACGGTGAGATGGAGTGTGTACTGTTGTGGACACCTTCGCTTGTCTCCGCTCTCGAAGTGGTCGATCTACACCGTCTTTGTGCGCCACCCGTGCTTTCTTCCGGCCGCTGGTCCCCGGTACTTGACGACACCCTCCTTGCCGTTGCACATGTCGATGTTGCATCGTGTGGTACCTGCGACCCTTGCGGCTTCCGATCGCAGCACGTGTCTAGGGCGAACGAAGAGCTGGCCGTTGACAGCCTACTGGTGACGGACGGTCTTTTCCGAAGCAGGTGTGTTTGTGCTGTGCGACAAGTTTCAAAACCGTTTTTAGTAAGCACAATGGTTATTACCGTTTTCTTTTTTCAGGAGGTAAGCTTTTCAAGAAAAGGCAAGTATACACACATTGGCAGTCTTCGTTGGGGGCGTAGTGTGGGCGTGCTGCCTGAATTCGCGTCGCTCATGCGTGGTGTGTGGTTGACGAAAAAGCCATTCGTGTTGACCACCTTGTCGCCGTGCTTGTCTACTGTTTTCGTCGGACTTCGATATCGAAGCCTGCACATACGTTGCTGTTGTGCCGCCATCGAGAACCGTTCACCAAACGCCGGCAACAACGGTATTTCACCGCCACCGCCTTTTGACTCTTGTCGTGTCTTTCGGGCGTATCTGCAGCGACTTGCAGACGCGAAAAAAGTACGTGGATCTGGTCGAGACGGCCAAGGACAGGGGAGCCAAGGTCTTCGTGTTTTCCAGGTCAGTCGAGTCAATTCAAACCAACAAACCGAATCGGTGCAGCTGCAGTTATCACTTGGCAATTGGTTCAGGCTGTTGTGGTCGCTAGGTTTGGAAGGAAGCATCAGTAGGGTGGGCGGCAGCAGCAGCGCCATGATTCACTCGTTCTATGATTGTCGTGAGAGTATTTTCGAAATCTTCGAATTAGTGTGTGTGCCAGGAGCGAAAAGGTTGGGTTTTCGATCATTCTCGAAGCAGTTGACAAGCACCATCGCGCCTAGTGAATGAGATTGAGTGGTCAGCTTTTCGCTGTGGGTTCGCTGCTTTACTGTACTCACGCTTTCCACATTTCCATTTCGTGTGTTCCTCTTTACGTGGGCATCTCTCTACCCGCGCTGGCCACCTGGAGCAGCATGCACGTGACGGGAGAGCAGCTAGGACAGCTCACTGGAATTGCCGCTGTGCTACGATTCCCTCTGCCGGAGATCGAGGAGGACGATGACGAGAGCAGCGACGAGGTACAGCACAGTACTGGGCGGTAGTTGTGGTGCTGTGCTTGGAGTGCCTGTTGGGGTGAAACCTGCGTATTCTATCCCTGCATGAGTTATTGTTATTGTCTTCATTTCCCAACTCGTTCCAAGTCGACATTGGAAAATGGCGCATATTGGCACAACACACGAGGCATGTTTTGCTGCCTCCCGCCAACCTCCGCCGAACGAAGCAATCCGCATATCATACAGAGACATGAAGAGGAGCTTGACGTGTGCATGTTAGAGTTGAATCTCCAGACGCCTCGCTCGACTTGCTTGATCGGATTCTACAAAAGAAGAGCGATCCTACTGTGCTCCTGCCGTGCTCCTGCCGTGCTGGAGTTGGAGGCGGCGATGGTGCTGCTACATACGCCTCGCGTCGTTCCTTACGTTCCTTTCATCGCTGAGTGAATGCGATTATTTGCGTGGTGTGAACTTGACTTGTTGGTATCGGGTACTTAACACATCGATCAATAGCCTTTGTTTCTTGTCGTGAGACGTTACGGGTGCAATATAGACTATATGTGTATATGTGATGCTTTCATCACCTAGGCGAGATATGGCGGCGACAGTGGGCGTGAGCGTGACCACGACGTGATGACGATGATGGCCACCCCGATTCAGCCAATCCCATTCTTTCGCAGAACCAACCCTTACACCTGTCCAACACTTCGAGGCGATGGCGATATTCGACTACTGATGCTACAGCTGACTACAGCCTGGCACTGCACAGCATGTCGTGTGATACCTCCTGCTGATTGTACTGTTTGTATGTTCTACGTGCAACAGGATTCTGTCATCGGCGAGGGCAGAGATATGGACGCCGGGGAGGTGAATTCGCTTGCTCAAGGGGTGGCGGCGATAGACATGGGGCTGTAGCGCACCGACCTCGTGAAAAAGACTTTGCAATGGAATGCAACATACTTCAACGGTTTTTGTCTGGTGTTTTGTCCGTTGAGCGATGCGAATGACACCGCTTTCTCTCTTGGTGGAAACATGTCCCAGATCTTGACCCAATGTTGGCTGTGTATTGTAAGAGGTATAATATCGTAGGTCTTGGGTAGACTTGAGTTGTTTTTGTTATTTAGTGCAGTTATTGAGGAAGTGATCAGCTAGACCGCCTTGACATGCGGCTGACGTAAGTTTCGCTCACAAACCATGACCAGCATGCGCGTAATCGATTTGCAGAAAGGTCACCACACCACGGCGTTTGGTTTCGTGTACATGCGTGCTGTATCTGTTGCCCATTTTGTAAATTTGTGAAGCTTGTGGAGAGAACAGGTTTTGTTTGTGATCGTTCGAACCCACGTACATATAGCGTTATCGGCGTGAGTCTTCTCTGGCGTTATGTATTCATGGGTCCAGTTTAACTCTCTATCCGTCCCTTTTTGCTGCCGTGGATAAGGAAACCTTGTTACATTTTCACCAGCCCAACAGCAACTATACCAGGGGGAGACAGCCCCTATCTCATCCCGCGTCCATGCAGCAATGCGGTGACAGTGCGTTGCACGTTGAGAGAGCCCCACATGTACTTGTTCGGTTACCCTCATCACGGATCGACATCATCCAAGTCCGGGAATCGTCATGGCGCCTGCACAGTCAATACTGAGGCATCGGAATGGTACTTGTACGTGGTTCAATCTTGTCCGGCATATCGTGCCTGATTTTACTTCTGCAGTATCACTCTGACTGCATCCCCTTTGCCACTCCGCATCGAGCGATTTCTATCCTATCGTAACAACCTCTTCGTTTTGTTTTTCCAGGTTCCCCGCCCAATGCACACCACCCATAACCCCGGTCGAATCAAGCTGGAAGCGTTGTACTGTACAACAGTTCCAGACCAACCGAGTGCAAAATTCTGCACATATCTGAAACTTTTCTATCAGCGAGCGCCCGTTGAACGTGGATTCCAGACGTGAGAAAACCACTACTTCCACGCGCACAGCCGCGTGCACCCTCATCAAACTCTCAGGATTTACATGTCAAAGGATCTGGCGTGGACCTCGTGGATCGTGGCTGCCAAAACAGCCAGAGTGCTGACAGCAGATGTTCATGACGGTCACGAACGCGCTGCTGCCTGAAGAGCGGCTGCCAACTGTGACTGGAGGTCGTCTCTGTCCGCCTCTAGCTCTACCCTTTGCATCCGTTCGGAGGCAAGGTCCTGCTCCATTCGATCCAACGCCTGCCCTCGGTTCGAGCTCTGGAACTTTTCCACGTCCGCCAGGTTGTCTTGCAGCGTTGCACGCTCTTGCCGCAAGGCATCTCGTTCGCCACGCACGGCTTCAACCTTTCTCGAGGGAACAGCAGTGTTTCATTGTCGCGGCGGTACAAGCGAGACGAAGCGTGAAGTTACGGCATCGCGTGAAGCGGAAACCACACCGCAGCGGAAAGCGTTAGTCGAACCAACCAAGTGCCAAGTGCATGCTTTCCCAAAGTCGTCTGCTGCTGAAAGCTCGCCATGCATCACACCTACGAACGTCATCACATGCCTTCAACTGCTGTCTCACCTACCTGGCATTAAAGCGGTAAGCAGAGTCTAGGCGGTTTCAGAGACCTGTAACTATTATCCAACCTGAGCATCTGTTGCTAGCGCAAAAACCGCGCCTGGACTAAGTTGCTTTCTAGAGTTGTAGCGTACACCACTTCTGCTGTTCTGGTTGTTTCACCACCCGGTGGCTGCGTTCTTCGCGACCATCGTCGTGAAATGTTTGATTCGACACTATCAGTGGACGATATGATGTCTCCCACAGGTAACAGGGGATCTTGCTAGCTGCCTTCAGACGACAACCACCGATATTGCTGTGCGGTATGCATTACACAAGATCAGTCGCGCATTCTGCGTTCGTGAACCAACGCATGTGCTCAGCAGGCAATGGAAGGGCATCGTTATCGTTGTCTACGCCTCTGCGCGGGAATTACATGCTGGGCCCTAGCGACATCAACCCACTGTACTCACTTTTCTCCCCGCGTCGACGAAACGTCTCTTCAGAGCGCTGTACTTCTCACGAAGGGCCGTCAGATCAGCCTGTAGCGCTTCTCTCCTCTCCTTCTCTGCTCGCGCTTCATCAAGCGCTCTGGACATCGCCAGTCTTGCCTCTCTCAATTCCTCGTCTGTTCTCGCCGACTCCCGCAACAACCCCTCACCCCTTGCTTCAGCTTGGCGCTTGGCCTCCTGTGCCTGCTGGAGCGATTCTTCTAGGCCGTGGTATGCGATGGTGGAGAGGGATATCTTCTCTTCCAGAGATCTGGCGGAGGCCTTCGCTGTCTCTTGGTCGTAGGATATCTGGGCCTACAGTAGTGACGATAAACGGCATGCAACATGACTGTTGGGTGAAGCACCGTGCACGAATTCTGTTCTCTTGGCTACCGCATGGTGGCTTCTGTCGTGCGGCGGAAGGTTACGGTTTGATCAAGCCTCATCCCATCTATTTTCATGCTGGTTCTCACCAGGTCGATTTGCCAAGTCCTCACTCAATCGCATACATGAATTCACATAAAGTAGCCGTTCGTAAGAATAGCCAACAAACATGCCCATGACGCTCCCTCTCGCCGCGTGTGTTAATCGGTAACGCCAGCTGTCCATGTAAACTGCTGTACACCCGAACGGTCTCAAACATGGTTCTGTCTACAATCTTCGACGTCGGAAGTATGCGGCGTGCGTTCGAATTTGCACTGTACATACGTAACCGCAAGGCTTGACAGATCAAGTCAGGACCGGAACGTCAACTGTCGAGTATCTACGGATTCTTGGATTGAGGATCACGAGGATCCGAAGTGTAGTATAGAACGGTCTACTGAGGTAGTTCCAACGGGTAGGGGATGTAGGCAGAGCAAAACCTTGAAGCACACAAGCTTATTAGCCTGGCAGAAAAGGGGTCGAGTGTCACACCTACCGACGCGTGTCAAAACAGCAAACAGCTCTACCTCAAACGATCGCGACCCCCAGCTGACAGACCCCTGACAGACCCCGTCTGTCCAACTCATAGATGCAGTCGATAGCAGAAAACTGCTTCGTACTTCATACAAGCATATTACTTCCGCAGTCGCCAATCTGTGACACGCCCTACCCAACGGCAGGGTTCGCACGGAACACACAGAGAGCGACACCCTGCCTCAGTTACAGTAGTGTACGTTCGACAAAACAAAGGGGAAACAGACACATGTTCGTTCGCTTGTTTCCTGTATAGACCACGCGAGTCATTGCCTTCATGAAGTGCGACGACCAAGTCTCCGCCGCAGTATGGTGGCACAAGAGTCATCAACACCACAGCTGTTGTCGGTGAATCCATTTTCCAACGAAACCGCCGGTGTTTACAAGGCATCGAGGCTTCAGCAGTTATCGCGCTCCGCGTGCTATGCCGTAGGTGACGCAAGATATCACGCCCCCTGGACCAATTTTCAGAGCTCGACTGCTCCACGGCGAAGAGCATTCACAATCCTGGTTTCAACAAGGATCTTCACAAGATGGGTCTAACGCCGCCATGATCGGCAGTAGAATAAACAATCTGCGAAAATCATTCAAGGGGTGTGATATCATGCGTCACATGTATTATGTCTATTTACTGCTGTTGCAACATTGCCGACCACGACTCTGTGAACAAGTTCCAACAGAAGCTGACCTGCAATCGGCTGACAGCAGCTGCTGCCGCTATCCTTGCTGATTCTGCCGTGGCCAGTGCTTCCGCGTTCTCGCACAACGCCGCCTCCAGCTTGGCATTCATGCTCGTGTGTTTGCCGAGCTGAGTCTCGAGATGTCTCACTTCGCTGCTCAACGCCTGCTGCCTTGAAATGCTGACATGATCCAGTCGTTCTCGAGACCATGCATCCGCTTCCACCTGTGCCACTGCTTCAAATCGGGCGCAAACCCCGTGTATGGCTAGACGCCACTGGCTCCAGTACGCGATGTCGTGTGTATCAACGATGCTCAGCAGCCTACTGCCCTTGGCACAGCAATGGTGATGTTGGTGACGTTGTCGTTGGGCATTTTCGCCAACCCGTTTTGCCATGTGTGGCATGCAGGCACAACGACAGAGGGTAGCAATTGATGTACAAGTTTTTACGCGTGCGATGGTAAATTTGTGGGCAATGTAGCAACACGCGTGGTGCCACAAGTGCAGAGTTTCGAGACAGGGCCGCAGCAACAGCGCGAAGCAATCGCTCGAGGGGGGACGGCAGAGTGGCGGCGCTGTGACGTGGGTATGCCGCGACCTCGTTGGGTGTTTTTTTTTTTTGTCTCTCAGGTTCCATCTGTTCTTCTGGGTACTCGAGTACCACAGCTCAGCAGCGTTGAGTGAGTTTGACGGCTATCGTCCCATCAAGCAGCTATCACGTTGAGCGGCTCACCATTGAGGAAATATTTCCTTCAGGGACGAGGAAGAATTAACACGCGTGTCATGTGTGGAAGTACGCGTTGACGTGACATGGCTGCGATGGACCTGCGGTGAACACGCCAGCGTCGCTAGTTCCCCACGGACCCTAGTCAGTCGGTGCCAGGGAGGGACACACATCGAGAAGCTGATTTGACCACCATCTACTCCTCAGCGTGCACGAGCAAGACTCCCCGTTGGACGCAAGCAGAGTGCTATGGAAGGGTCACGCTGACCCCAAGAAGAGTCACGCGAAAGAAAAGAAAAACACGTGAAGATCCGTCGGACATTTATCCCACACCATGATCCCGCGAAACTACGACGACCATGCTGTACCCCGCAAACCCGCCAACCAAGCTAGAACTTGTCCCAAAGCGCACACACGCCACCTCCCCCCCTTGAAACGAAGAAAGTTAACCACTGAGCACGGCGAACAAACTACAGAGGGCCTACCCGCAACGGCTAGGAGAGTTACAACTGCTGCAGCAAGCAGCGGTATGGAATGGCGGTGGATTTGGAGTTCGATTAGAAGCCGTACTCCTCGAGCACGGGCGCAACGGCAGCCAAGTTGGCCTCTGCCGTGGCCTTGTCCTTGAGCTGCTTGGCCGCCTTCTTGTCCACGTAGTACGCCTCCGACTTGATCTTGCGCTGGGCCTGGACGAGTACACGAAACGGTATTGCGGGGGCAGGAGTGAGACAAGAGAAACAACGCATATCAAGAAAGATGCATGTCCTGGTTGGTGGCACCTGTGTTGGTCTGGAAGGAAGACACATGATGCCAAACACACCACCAGAGTGTCGCGAAGGGGCGAACGAGCTCAACTCGACAAGCATACAAAATTGGAACAGCGCCATGTCAAAAGCAGTGGGTAAACACACGCCTTAATGTAATGGAGCAAATGCTCGGCCTGACGCAATCGCCAAGAATTGACATCGATCCTCAGGGTACGGTAGGCAGCGTGGCGCGCCGTAGGTGGCGGCAAACACAGCAGTGTCATCGTTTGGAGCGGTTAAATGTCACCCCGCCATCATGTTTCGGGCAGGCGTAATGTTCGTCACAACGGAACGAACAGATGCTGCTACAATTCCCGACGAAGAGGTACGGATTTCGGAGTAGTGCGCCACCATCAGAAGACAAGATAATCTGGACCCCAACCCACACATGACATTGTGTGAACTACATACATTCGAGAGAGTCAAGTATATTCGCCTGCTGCGGCAACGATGTGCGCGTGGAGTGCGTGCATCAACACCAAGAAACACTTTTGACACCGGCAGCAAAGTAGCCAAGCAGCTTCGCGTATTGCTTCATGTCAGGGCAGAACCACCGCATCAGTGACATGTGTACGCACTGCTCGCACTGCTCCGGCTACGTCGACGAAAACTAGCAAACAGCTCGTTGTGTTGTGTTGTTAAAGCGTCAAAAATATCTTGGAAAGGTATCAATTGGATTTCGATATCAACCACCGGACACGGGCGTGAAGACTCGACCCTTAGTATGCTCTCAACTGTCAACATCATGACAGCCCGGTGACAAGGGACACCAGGTCAAATGTGAAATGGCAAGCAATAGATCACAGGAGCGCCAAGAAAACGCCACACTTTCCATTCGATAGGGTGCATTGCTGTTACCCCCGCACTGCTAGAATGAACTCGGGTGTACCCAGTCACATGCACATGCACGACTTTCCTCCACGTATGCCTAGCCTCGGGCATACGTGACAGTTGAAGGGAGATAGCGTTCTTCCTGCTACGTGTCAAGCGTCAAGCAGACTATCAGCTCTCTGACATATGAAGATATTTTTTAGCGCTTTCTGCTGTGAAGCGACAGGCACCAATAGGGTTTGGTCCGTCTAACGCGGTGTATACCAAGCTGATGCATCGTGATTCTGCGAGTGAAGTAAATTTACGCCACAGAACCTCTCTTTAAACAGGAATCATAATTGAACTAGCGCCACAATCGAAAGCCGTTGCACACCTCGCCACATCAACAAGAAGCTGGCATCTAGCATCCCTTGGTACATTTTTCATCGTGGACTCGGTGATGTACTACTCTTAGTGTTGTTCACCTCGAGGCGTTTGATGAGGTCTGCGTGCGGCCATCCGACCTCCTCGGATAGGCGTCCGAGCACGCAGAAGCGGCGGCCGGGTGCCATCCTGATCACCTGAAGGGCGTTTGGTACGACCATACGCTTCTTCTTGTCGTAGGGGGCCGGGATGCCCTCGAAGCACTGCGGGAAACAGCAACAGATACGACAGCAGCATAAGAGTACATGTCACGTCATGGACAGGAAGCTTTTGAGCAGGGGGAGGGGGCGAAATATTCAGCATCGGGAGCTCAACATGGATAAACCAGTACCAACCCGCCGAGGGCTAGATAGTAGGGCCTATAACAATGGGGTGCACGACCTATCATCTGCGGCTTCCCGCAGAACGCGAGAGAGGGCTGCCTGCTGCTGCTGCCTGCGTTGACCATAATTAGACTCCGCCAGGATGACACACGCGCCAACACTCAGTAGAAGATGGCCCTCGTCTTAATTGTCGCCATTATTCCTGCCCCGTCTACAAAAACGGCTCAGCAAGCCCTAGACACCATACTCTGGCAGAAAAGATGTCTACACATCTCCTACTCCTGCCGTCGCTTTTCAAGCGGCCGCATCAGGTAGTACCGTCCCGTCGATGACTGCTCCACCGCCCAATAGATCGATGCATGGCACACCAACGCATCACCCACGGTATTCTAGCAGTCACCACAGCAAAGAGCAACTACATTCAGCTCTCCGTCACCTACGGTAACCAGCAGCCGATGAACGTGCGATTTCAGCCAACCGTCCCTCTCCATCTATCTATCTAATACCTGGTACTGCTGTCTTACAGCTCTTCGATTGCTTACCGAGAGGCGTGCGAGCGCCTCTTCGCCCCTGGCGGTCTTGCGGGGGAGCATTCCCCTCACCTGTCGTTGCAAAAGCACGCAACACACAGCCACCAGCAACATTTGCAACAGTCAGAACGATGGTTAACGAGGTTCGTCGCACCCCAACCGTGATCGGGCAGATGATAAGCTACAGCAGTCATCGGTCTTCTCGTCCCCGGGGAGAGGGGCGGTGCAAGGGGAATCTTGAATCTTCCCTCATGAGGTTTCTCGACAGCGAGGTGGGTATAAAAGCGGTGCAGACAGGGTAGAATCGACCTCGGCAACGGTTCTGGAGATGTATCATTCGCCTCTGCTGACTGAAAACTTGCCATGTTGTCGACAAATCGGGTGGGGGGAACGACACCTCTCTACTAGAGTACGGCAGTCTACAAAGCACTGGAGCTTCGAAAAGACTACATTCTCCGCATCACCACTCGCACGATCAGACAGGCGATACATGCAATTGCGGCCGACATTTGAGATTGATATTTGCACTGTCACGTGGGTACACACCCAATTCACCGGACACATTGGGTTTCAAAAGGGCCTACATTCATTCGGCGGGTCGGTCAAAAGGGAGGCCGTGCCCAACATCGCCAAAGAGTCGGAAAAACTACCGAAAGACTCGGGATGATATCGTACTGCAGAACAAGTATATGCCCATCATACGACTAATCTCTCAAATGCAAAAGCAACAAGCAAGAAGTCAAGTCAAGGTGTCAACACCCGGTTCCATGATAACGTACACACACCAGCACGGCCGGGCGCTCTTGAGCACCACACCCCAAAACGAAGTACCGATACTTGTAGCACAGCTGCCTTACAGCGTAGTAGTTCGTACTTGCGTAGGTTGGGGCGGATCTGTCCTTTCACAATCGACTTCGTAAGTCGCGAGGGAAGGGATTGCTGTACCCTTCTCGCGATAAAAATACGTCAGGCATGAACCGCAGGAGGGGGTCCAACCGCCCCCTCCTATGTGACCCCGGTTGGGTCGTCTAGCTAGTAGGAGTGGAGGATAGGGGCCAGAGGGGCAGACGACAGAGTCCAATGATGGGAGAAAAACAAAAACAACACAAACAAACTCGGAACACAGGGAAAGGTGGTAAAGTTACACAGCAGTGCGCGATAACTACACAGCTGCTCCTGCACAGAGTGACGAGGCTCACCGTCCGCCAGAAGATGCGGGCAGGCGAGCGGAAGTGGTACGGGCCGCGCTTGGGGTTGGTGTTGTGCCTCTTCTTCTTGTACTGCATGTACTTCACCTTGTTACGGACCACTGCCATGCGATCATGGAGGGATAGGGAGAGTTGAGCGCCAAGGGTTCCCGTGCAGGGACAACAATGCTCTTGGTGCATTATTACATTGGCCTTTCCGACGAATTCAACAATTGAGCTCCCTATGGGCGGGCCGCTAGCCTTGTACTCTAGCGGAATTTGGGGGACCGGATTGCAGCGGGAGGCACATCAGAGTATGGCCTCCTCTCCAGCAACCACTTTTGACACGGGAGAGTTCACACACAGCAGAGTTTCGAGCATGCATGGAAAAGGCACAATGTGAGTTGTGTGAGCTTTCCGAACAACCGCCGCAATCGCGAAGTAGGCCACCAGCCTGAAACCTCGGAGATGCTGCTAGCAGCCGGCTTACACCACTTATCAAGAAGGCTACCGCTGTTAAGCAGAACGCCCTTTGGCATCGCGGTTGCCCGCATCGACTGGTCACCACGAACCTACGAGTCAATGCCCAAGTCTATTTCCTCCAACCCAAGATCAGGCCAACGCATCCTCTGTTGCTCCACTCTCAAAAACCAACACCGTAACCCCAACTCGCGAGCAATGGTGCCTTCGCCCAGGGTGTGGACAAGGAGCCCTAGTGAGCTGTCTCCGGGCATCGGGTGAGGGAACAAGCGATCAACACCGAGGAGCATCATGGCGGTGGTAACTCACGAGAGCCGCTGATGGTGATCTGCTCGCATCGCACGACGACCACCTTCTGGCCGCCAAGCAGCTCCTTCGCCACGACGGACGCCAGGCGCCCGAGCAGGTGGCCGCGGCCATCCACGGTAACGGGTGCCTCGAACATGGTGGTAGTAACCCTTGCCCTAGGATCACGTGTGCCTGACGCCTTCGCCAGCCGCCGCCTGCCACCAAAAAAAACAAAAAAAAGGAATATCCCCCCAGAAGGTAAATGGCAGTACCTACGTCAATTCCTCTGCGGGGCCCCTCGAGAAATGCAGCCATGACAACAGACTGAACGAGCAACACACTTTGCACAGACTGCTGCAGCCAGGGGGTAAACCGCCGGAAAGCCAATCAACATCCTTACAAGGAGAGACGGGTGCGGTCTAGATGGAGTTCCCTGGGGCAGCAGAAGACCCAGAGCAAAGGTCGTTCATCGACCCGGTGTGGTTGCAGCAGTGGGGACTTGGGCCACAAAACGCTCTGGACTACTTTGCTCTCAGCCCTTTCTACGACAAAGCATGCAACAATGAGCAGTGCAGGATGCAGAGCGTGGATCCAAGGGAAGGGCTGCTGAACCTAACTGGCCTAGAGTGAGTGGTCTTGGGTGTGTGCCTTGACGTCGTGTACTGTCGTGGGTGAGCTGCTGCAGCTTGGGAGATCATGAAATGGTCGTTCTCTTGCCCCAGTCTCCCGCCCGTTGGCGTGCGATCTTGTCGCTCCGCGACCCGTTGAGCTGCTGCATATGTAGGCCTCTCATCTAGCAGCAGCCAGATGTGGGTGGGTGCAGTTCGCATGAGAGTGCATGGCCCGCAATATCTGTGTTATTTCGCAATTCGCAAGGTTGTGCACTGCCCTGGGCAGCCTCGTTTGGTGGAAGGTAGCCATATGATCCAGGCTGGGTATTTATCCCCCCGCTTTCAGCCCCCAATCCAACAGGCAACATCAGCATATACCGCACATCGGCATATCTGCATATGCATAGTAGGCGCGAAGTATATATGCTTACAGCATGTAACACAGGATGAAAGGAAGTAAAACTGCCGTGTGTCAAGTTGGCACGTTGCCGACGGCTCGAAGCGATCAAGGGTTCAACCGCCACGACCGAACAATGCAGAATGTATAGTAATGACCTCTGTATCCATGGTGTAGACTACATCCCGTAGCTCCCATCTCGCATCTCGCAAGTTATGGTGGTTTTACTGATATTTACACGGGGTACTGTTGTACGGGGTAGGTACAACAGTAGCCCACCGATAGGATCCATCTGCAGGGTTTTGATGACTAGCTTCCGGGTGGGGCACTACCCGGGTGGGGCACTACCCAGCTACCCCGCAATAAACCTCTGGCTCTATCGCAATTTCAGCGCGTTTCGGAATGTTTTTTTGGGTCAGACAAGTGGCCTCGACAACCCGAGCGTCAGGTTTTTACCACTTTTTAGCTCAGACTGCCCCACTTTCCGCCCACCGCTTAGATCAATACCCATCACCACCTTCAAAATATTTGGAGCATGGGTTGCTGTTCAGCTGCCTCATATTCTCAGCAGAAACAGAGTAGTAAGTCATGAAAAGATTACTTGCAGGGTACAGACTCATCCGAACCTGATGTCGCCACCACTGGACAGAACTGGTCTTCCGACGCGGGTGGTGTGTGTCGTTGTATGTATGTGACGATCGAACAGCGCTCGCTGTGGAACCGACGAGCGTGGGATGAGACAAGGTCCACCAGTCTTGTTGCCTACAACCAATTCAGGAGAACACCCAGACCATGAGCCGAAACTCCCCATTGCCTCTTGTTGGCCAAGAAAAATGTGTGCGTTTGCATGTACCTGTGCCTAACCCCAGCACAACGTTGAAAGTAGAGTGTGCTACAGTTCAAAGCAAAGCCAACGTGAAATCACTCGCGAGAAGGCACAGCTGGGTGTACTGAGTGTATTCTTCTCCTTCGTGGACGTACTGCGTACCGTGTTCTGCGAATTAGGTTCATGTTGGTGGAGCTCCCACCAGAAATGTCTTTCTTGCCACCGGGGCAACCAGCTCCAGCCGGGCCGCAGCCTCGACGTCTCTTCGTAATCAAAGTGAGCCGTGTTGTGCTTCCGCCACTTTGCGCGAGGCGTATGTACCTCGTCGGCACTGTCTTCTACCGGTTGCTAGGTGAAGTACCATGTGGGCGGTTACAAACGAACCTGCCGCAGCAGCAATATGCAGCATGCAGCCTTGGAGTCCGTTGGGAGTCGGATGGACAACCGTGATCGGAGGGACACACCGCCGTGCGCGGAAATCTCCAGTATTCCATCTGGTGGCGGTACCACCTCGTTGATACTCCATCAAACGATCCTGGATAGTGTACATCAGCTCAGCTCGGCGCATCCGTATGACCACGGAGTCATGTTGTAAGGCATACAGGAGTGGTCGGCACTCGCACTCTCCAAATATCGAGTACCTGGTACCGCTTCTTTTGCGTTGATTACTGAGCACGATGGTGCCATGCCCAAACCAAGCTTACCAAAAGCAAAAGGTTGCGATTTTTTTTCCCTTCCCAGAAACAAGTACGCAAGAGCCCGAGTTCGGTTGAGGTCCAGGCGATCTACTACATCATGGAGGGCGTCATCTACCAAGCTCCCACGGTGCAAAAGCTCATCAAGTCTCGTCTAAACAAGTTCACCCACCATCTCAACAACGCCTTTGGTGAGGCCGGCCTCCAACCCGACTGGTCGTTTCATTCTTAAGGCGGTGTGATGAGACCTGATCTCTGCATTTGAATATGTAGAGTCGTTCATCCGTTTGTTGGTGGAAGCTTCTGTTGTGCCGCACGCTCACCCGAGGGCAGGCGGTCGAGCATGTGTTCAGGTTAGCAGGTGGGTATGGATGATGCTGGGAGGTACTTTTGTGGGGGCTTCTCGTATTTTAGGTGCATGTGTTTCTCTAAATCGTGATCTTTCGTTGTTTGGCAAGAGGAACATATAAATTTCCCATCCGAAGTGGACATTCGCCTATCACATCGCTCGAGGTTGCCGGTGAAGAAGGCTACTGTATTGCTGTCAGTGGAATGCAGACTCCCCATGATCATATCCCTAATCATTATGTGCACTGCTGCTGTGTATGCGCTTCAAAAACTTAGCACAATCACTATGTGAAGGTTGGAGAGCCGGGAGTTGGCCCCAACAACTCCCCGATACTAGTGCTCTTTTCTTGCCCGTTCTGTTGTGACCGCCTCCACTGTTATCTTGGAACTCCCCTTCCAGTGGAGTTGTCCAAGCTGGCGAAGCTGAGAGACTCTGGCGGGGGCTACGACTGGGCTTGGCAGAAGGAGGCTAAAGATCTGCAGGAGAAGGCAGAGGCAGCCGAAGGTGTTGGTGTGGCAGAGGAAGACAGAGACGCGAAAGCGGCCCTCAAGCTTTCCATGGACAACATTCTCATGGTGAGCCATACCGTATGAAGTATGTATCAGGATGAGAGATGATGCAACTTAAAATTCGTGCCGTGGTTGTGGTTAGTGTCCATACGGATGTGAGGGTGGGTCATTTTGCACAGCGAACAGCTCGAGTTAGTTGTGGGCTTTGCCATTACCATTACTGGAGACTTTTTTTTTTGTCGAAGAATCGCCCAGCGGTGTGCGACTAACTGGGAAATTGGGAGCCTTGCAGACAGCGCCACCACGCAAGTATTAATTTGGTCATTTAGCACTTGTGCCCCACCCCACACTCAGACCTATGATGGTACATTTTGCTCTCCCAAGAGCGAATGAGGAGCGAGCCTCTTGAAAAATATAATGTTCGGAAATGGTAGCGGTGTCTGTGTTTGAATCGATGTCAGCTTATTGCATTTGATGAGGGACCATGCATCCTCGGCCTTTTCTCGAAAGTCGTTGTGCAACACCAGCGATGATGCCGCCACTTCACTCGAGGATGCACGTCTTTGGCCTGTTACTGCTACTGCTAGAAGTCAGACATCCTTTTCCACACCTACCAAGAGCGTTGTGATGGAAAATTGGTTTATGTACGCGAACAAGGCCATGACATCAGTCCTCGTCCGCTTGCCTAATTTTTCGTTGAATGTGCCAATGCCGACGCCATTGTCTGCTCTTGTTGGTGTTTTGCTAGGGTCTGGTGGAGAAGTACATCGACGGAGACGGAGAGGGCAAGGAAGGGAAGGAACCCGCCGCTAGAGGGGCAAAACGGAAGGCCGACGGCGAAGCCGTGACTAGCGCTTCTCTCGATGCGGCAAGTGCTGCCGCTACCAGCTCCAATGCTACCAGCACTGCTGCTACCAGTAGTGCCACACCAACGACGGGCGGGATGACGAAAACCCTTGCGGCAACGAAGCCCACTCGATGACACGTACAGTATGATGGCGGCGTTGTCGTGGAAAGGAGGTTTTTAGGGGATCTGTTGCCTCAAAAATTATACCACAGGTGGCGTAGTTCTTCCTTGTGAGTCTAGAATGTTCGCCTTCGGTTACGTGTGCAGCGTTGGTTGTACTACTCTGTTTATCGTGGTCGGGTAGACGTTTTGTGCCTACAGTGCAGCCTTCCTGCAAAAGCCGTGCAATACGCTGCCGTTTACTGTACAAAGTTGATGTGACGTAATAATATTGGTGGTTTACGCTTGGTCTGAGAAAATCGAGTGTGCATAAACTCTGCAGATATTTGGCATGTCTACGGTGAAATAACACCTCGATAGCGGTGGCAGTGCGCCTGCGTCCCGCGCGTGCTGCAAATTGCCCTCAGGATATTCGCCTGCAAATCGTCGCGAGCTTTGTCTGCAAGTTCCGGTGGAGCACTCCCTGCCTGTAACACCACACGAGAGAGTGTAGAGGCAGGCAGTGCGGGGGGTGTCGTGCTGTGGACACGTCTTCCGCTGTCGGTGCTGTGTACATGAGATGTACCATGCTGTTCAACAAACAAGTACCGACTGCTCCATCTTTAATGCTAGCAAACGCTCAATGTGTCGGCATGCCAAATACGTGTGTGCTCGTGGAAATGGAGTCGTTATTCAGTCGAAAAGGTACTTGTGCGCTGACTGAGCATCCGCGACGACGACAATCGGTCATACCAACTCACCGGTTCAAATCGTCACAAAAGCCCGATTCCTCAGCCGCAACCTTATACGCGACCCATCATTTCCAACAGCCCCGCCCCTAGCAACAATAGCAACAGCCCTCCTTCCCGTGTCTACCCCTCTACCACTCTAACGTCTTGGTAACTCCCGCCCGGTGCCCCACAGGCAGGACCTGACCCCCCCCCTACCCCCCTGCAGGCCTCAAATCTCCCTTATGCAGTAGTCGCCTTGCTGTTCAATTGTGGTTCGGAGAAAGTTTAAGCCGTCATGCAAATCCAATCATGAAAACAGAAACTCATTTAACAAAGCCGTTTGAGGGACTTCGGCGCACGTGCGTTTGGCCGTGTCCCCCCCGGCGCATTGTCGCAACACTCAAAATATCTTTTAACTACTGCGCCACTTTCACATGTTACATAGATACCCCCCAAGGAAGCTGACAGATGATTGTTTGTGAAAGGTTGTTAACGTTGCCAGTCAGGAAGAATTAGGTGTGTGCTCTCTGGGTGGCAGCAGTTGACCGGTGCCCTGGGCATCAGCACCAACCACAATCCAACCTAAACGTGCAATCACGGACGTGTCCAGCTAGGCGCATCCAGCACCCCTGCACGAGTACCCCAGCAGGTTTGTCTCTCTGCTCTAGCTTCAAAAATCTTGTTGGAAAAACTTCGTCCAAGGAGACATCCTGTTGCAACGGTCTCCGCCCGCTGTCACCGCTGTACTACCGCCGTGCGTTAGGTGCGATAGACGTGTCACCCGTCAAACCCCTGCTGGTGCCAAGGTGGAATTATTTTACCGCTATCGTCTCTCCCTGTTTGCCCATCATTTCTCTTCCATCTTGATACCGGCGGCCGCTGTTGATCTCTCCGATGGGGTTGCGTTCGGGCTCGGGGCTGCTGTCGCGGGGGTCGTTTCGGCGGCCTCTTCCTTCTCCTTCTCCTTCGCCTCGGCACTCTTAGCCGCCTCCTGCTTGGCCTTCATCTCAGCTGCAGTCGCAGCAGCGGCAGCTGCTGCTGCCGCTGCCTTAGCTTCAGCCCGGGCTGCAAACTGTTCGTCAATCTTGGTCCTCTTTTCTTTGAAGTCCTCATCCACCAGCTCCAGCAACTCGTTCTTGATGTTGCCGATCTTGGCTTCGATCTTCGCCTCTAGGCGTTGCATCATCGATGCTCGCTCCTCCTCCAAAGCGGCGATCGTGTCCAGCCGTTCGAACTGCCGTCCGTCAAGCCAAGTCAAGTCAAGTCAAGTCGGGAATTACCCATGTAAGGAACGGCGACAGTAGGCGATTCATGACAGCCACGCATTCAACAAGCTGATGTGGAAAGCATGAAACACAAACCAGGGACGATCCTGCCGCACACGCGCCATTCGCAGTCATCTCTGGGACGCGAGGGCGGTTGATCACGACAGTGCTAACGGTAGCAGGCATCCCGGTCTTCCAACAGCGGAAGTAGTACGATAAGCTTCACGATGCTCTTCGGCGGATGCTGCTTCATGTCAGGCCTTGGTTGACCCAACCCAAACTCAAGCGACCAAATAAAAACATTGACAAGAAAATGGTACCTGCTCGTCGATGCTGAGCTCGCTTGTGGCACTGCTGACACTCGGTGCGTCCAGCTCGCTGGGCACATCATTGGCCAACTCCACTGTCTTCTCCATGCCAAGCTCGCTCGTGGGCGGCTTCCATCCGTTCGCCATGCCGACCCCGGCTGCACCTCCCGCCCCAGCTCCAGCTACGACCTCTGGCGGGCCCTCCCACACTGCTCCCTCCCCAACGTCCGAAGTGCTGCTGTCAATCGGAGCGGATTCCCTATCGATCCCCATCACCTTCTCGTTCACGGCACCGCTAAGCTGCTGGGCGAACTTGCTTGCCTCTTTCAGTGGTCCCTGAAACGGCAAAGAAAGGATAAAGCGAAGTTCGGGTTCACCCCAAGGGAAGCAATAACAACAAGGATAGGGATAGGGGGAAGGGAGAAGGAGCGTGTCCGTTTTTATCTTGTAGGCGACCATTTACATCGGTGCGTTCTCTCGACATACACCTGAACTCGTGGGGCGGGGCGTTGGGTCGCGAGCCTGGGGGAAACAGCTGTACCGTCCTCGACACCAAAGACACCAGCAAACCCAACAAGTGACGCATTTCGTTTACACAGATGGGACACATTCGTTGACACAGATTTCTTCGAAATCAACCCCCATGTCTAAATCAAGAGCGCGTTGAATCAACTCGTTGTCATGTAACCACTCAATGCGGCCGCAACCGCTGACGACACGTTCTGGGACTTGCAGTAACTGAGCAAGAGAGGACCTGGGTATAGACTCCCAAGGAGACGCAACAATCCTCTGCCTCGTTCGCTTCGAGAAAAAGCGGCACGTCCTACGCAACAGCCACGCATGGCACAATGCAGGGATCGAAGCAAACTGCTGTTTCACGACAGCACAGATAGTCCACTCAGCGCGTCATTGTCCCCTGGAACCGAACACCGGGAGCTAGAAAATATAGCAACCAGCATGACAGAGAAACTCACCTCTTCCTTCTCAAACTCGCTCAGCTTGTCGCTGATTTTGTCCCCCAACCCTTCCCAGAACGGAGCCCTGTCCTCGTCTTTGATCGGCGGCGGCTTCTCTGGCTGTCCCTCGTACACCATCCGCCCGTACTCGTCGATCTACCCGCCATCGAGACATGAGAGATCGGCCGGCGAAACTTGATGAAACATCGCAGTTAAGATAAAGAGACGGTTCAAAGGAATACAACAAGCTGGCCATCCTACGAAATTGGTACGTTGAATGCTGGTGAACACATCAGCCTTGACTGGTGACAAGCACCGCCGAATAAAGTACAAAACCTGAGCGGTTATAGACGCCTGAAACGTTTGTTTTAAAGTCGGTGCAAAAAGAACCTACATCGAGCTTCACGCGGTGGAATGGACAGACGACGACAGCAGGTCCACCAAGATACACATGATAAGAAGAAGGGGAGTATGGCAACCCCCTCCGACAAAACTCCAATCGCAAGGAGCAAAGAGCGGAGGTAACGAAGGAAACGACTTCCGACAGCAGTGCGGTCGAATGCACAGATGAGCGATCGACTCTCAAAGACCGATTGCTCCACAACCAACGGGGTGCGAAGGTGCGAACCCCGGCCGACCAGGTGCAAGGTGCAAGGAAAGGAAAGCGCTCTCTTCCTCGACGAGGTCTATCGACAACCACCGTTTTCGGCGTTGACGACCTCTTGGTTGTGGAGCATACCGAGCGATAAAAATGGATCGCACACCTTCGCCAGCTTTTCATACGGTAAAACGGCACCATTGAAATACAAGCTGTCATAACTCCAACCGAACCAGGGGCGATGAGGGAAGGGATAACACCTCAGGGCGGATAGCAGTGACTGCCGTACACGCCGGAGCAATGCTCATGTACAGCATGACACTGCTACAGCACGATACCGCAAAGGCAGACTCACCGTGACATCCTCAAACTCGTCCTCGTCGCTCATAGGGAACTCTTCTTCGGGGGCAAAGTAGTCCGGAGGCTTCTTCTCCCCAGACGCGATTTGCTCCGCATTCTGAATCTGAGGGTAGGCGTCAGCGAAAACCAGCGAGCGCGCGAGCCAGCAAAAGTGTGGCATAGGTGTGCGTAGTCAGTAGGGTGACTCGTGCAGGCGCCTCGCAATCTCCCGCTTAGGCACTGCCTATGGTGATGCCCAGGGTCATTCTAGTACTGTACAAAGGAGCACATCAGGACCAAGCAAAAGAGCAGCATGAGTTGTCGTTTCATGAGCCTACCAGTCTCGACAGCCTTACGCAGACTACAGTACTACAGTACTACAGTAGTGCCTTTGGTTGTCTCATCGCGACATCGCGACGCATTTTTCCCACAATACGAGCGAGCGTTCCATGCACAAGCAGTGGAGAGTGCGGCGCTACAATGCTACAATCCTCTCCCTTTCGGTACAATAACCACAACACTTCTTCCGTAAAAAGAAGCGTGACATGCTACCACTCTGCACGCTGCACCTGATCATCCACGATCGTTGTGAGGTTGTTGACCGTGCCCAGGCCGACGTCTCTCAGCTGCCCAACCAAGACCCCCGCCTGCTTGACGAGCTTTACCAGCTCTACCGGGCCAAGCACGAAGTACCCAACCACCAATACGACCACAACTTCGGGCCCTCCTACACCGAAAAAGGTGTTATCGAATCCGACCATCTGTACGGTGCTGCGGTTACCGGAGGCGGATGAATTCCGGGGAGTGGGACGACGAAAGGGGTGGGTTGGTGAGGTCGTAGCTTTAACTTAGCAGCAGTTACTATTTGCAACGCTCACAGCAGGATGAGGAACGAGCTTGCGTGCATTATGTTATTGAATCTACCAAGAAAGCATCGTGGCTCCTGTCGCATGCGAAGCTCACTACTGCAGTCTTTAGTACAGCTGATGCTCTGCGTGGGGCTTTTGCGAGGGTACAGCGACACCGATAGCGAGCTACATGTACGGCTGTATTTTACTCATCGTAGCGAACGGACAACGAACGGGGTTGGTTGTCGGTTGTGCTTCTGTGTACAATTATTGCACTTCATGTACTACACTACAAGAAGGAGTTGAAATACCCACTCACCGAACACAACACGTGTAGGGCGAGTTTCCACTGATGATACACGGACTACACTACAACATCCCCACGTGCAACAACATGCCGCCGGCGAGGGTAGGAAGAAGCGGCATAGGCACGGCATGATGTAGCACACAGCAGATGAACATGATACATCTGTGCCTCTCATAATCCACCCGCGGGTTGAACCTGACATACTACAGTTGTACCTCCTTCTACCGTGCCGTCCTCGCCGCCCGACTCTCCTCAGACCAGCCGCAGGTCTACCTTGGAGGACAGGTGCTCCGGCGAAGGAGCCGTAGTGGTTAGCGCCGCCGATGCCGATGATCGAGGTGCAACCACCTTCAACGCCCCCCCGTCTCGGTCGCACAGCAGCATTTCCCACGTTCGGAACGAATCCAAGCGCCACGCCAGCGCTACACGCACAAGCAAGCGCGACGCCCAGCCTTCGATTGGGCGCCATCCTTATCGCTTTGTTCAGGTCGATGGGAGAGAGGCAGAGAGAGGAGTCCGTGGCGCCAGCACAAGTGCAGCTGGGACGCGGGGCTCGACCGATCGTACCGGCCGGTACATGCAGGTTGGTACCGCTCCTGTCTCGTTTGACTTCCTGAGCAGCAGGGCCCCTCCGGGTTGTAAAATCCCACACAACAAGCAAGATCCCAAGGGAGCTTGGCAAAGCGAAGCTGTTGCGGTTGCCCTGATGCGCTACTGTTCTCTTGCCGGAGTAGATGTGGCCTTCCTTCTCATTGCCGGTGCCGCAAGGTCGGGCGAAGCTTTCCTTTTTGCGGGTCTAAGGGTCCCGTCTACTCCCCGTCAACAACATGATCCCTCTCCATCTTCAAACACGCAGCAGCAACACGCCGCCAGCGGCAGGCTGCTGCCGACAACCAGCAGGCCGCCATCCACCGCCAGCACCCTGCGCGCGACTCCCGCCGACGACGCTACCGGGCAACAAATCCTGGAATACCCCGTTATGGCTGACGACCAGGAGGGTGGTGCCCCCGAAGGCCGACAAGAAGGTGCCGCGCAACCTCCTCCGATCCCGAAGGACACGACGCGCAGGGCGGTGGCACTAGACGGCACAGCGCTCGCCTTCCGGCTCCCGACCACCCAAGACTTCCACAAGCTAGGGATGGGAAACTGGGTAGCCCAGAAGGGCCTGGCTGTCGCTCTAGTGGCGCTGGACGCGAGTGAGCAGGCGGCCGGAGAGCCGGTTATCGGTGCTCCTCTGGCGGGAGCGGTCGTGGAGGCGATGGGGGGAGGCTCTTCGGTGGCGACGCAGGTGTGCTTGTTGAGGCATCGGCGTGAGGACGGCGTGGCGGAAGCCGTGGAGCATGCACTGCTGGATGAAACGATCAACCGTTTCCTCAACGATGGAGCGAGAATCAGCCAGGTTGGTGCAGCAGAAGAGAGGCACTTCCAGCGGTAGTAGTAGAGTGCTACTATAGACTGGTGTGTGGATCATGATCATGAGCGACCACAACAATGTTCCGTATCGGCCGTCATGTTCATACCCCACATGGAGCTGGTTCTTCTTTTGCTCCTGTGCAATGCACACCTCTCGGAATTTTCCAGTGAATGACTAGGTTATGTGTCCTTCCTGTACCTAGGGCGCGTCCTGTGTGTCTCGGTATTTTCCCATTTGCATTGAGCAAGATGTCTTGTTATCTGGCGACGTCTACATGGTCTAATCGTGGTATGCATACTGTGGCAAGGACATCGATAGAGCTCTTCGTTTGTGCAACACAGGAACACAGGGGATCAGCTTGCTTCCTGCATCCGCATGCATTCAAGCGGCAACAGGCTTCCATGAGGAATCTCATGTTGCCCGTGCCAAAAGATGACGATGGAACATCATTGCATCCTTGGCAATAGATGACTGCGTTGCACGTGCAGCAAGCAGTAACAGCCTTGGCCGGACGACAGCCGATGCCTACTCCCGTTCGATGGAAACAAAGGCGCCTCGACTCTAGAACGTCTCGTCCTGTGGTGGTGCTGCTGCTGGTGCTGCTCCGCGTGCACCCACCAGTCCTGAGATCACCTTCTCCTACACCAAGCGGCTGGCCTCGATGCTTGCGTAATTGTGCCGCCCTTTCCGTTAACAAACACTGGTGTCTTGCGCCAACGTACCCCGCGTGTTTCCCCAGTTGCGCGTCGAGGTTGACGATTCCCCGCAATCCGTAGACTTTTACTCCCGGCACGGGTTCATCCGCTCCGTCGAGGCGGCGTCGGAGGGGCGCGTACTGCTTGCGGGAGATCGCGTGGCAGCTTTAGGGGCGATACAGGCGTCGTTAACGGGCGGGGATGAGCAGGGCACCGTCGGCGCCGTCGTGATGAACCTCATGGCACGCCTGCTGCACGATGCGGGAAACCTGCAGGGGGCTGTGGATGCCTACCTGAAGGCGCTCGAGGCACGTGAAGGCACTCCATCTTATCGTAACTCATCGTAAATTTGAATGTCGGTTGGTGGTTCCGTTGTAGGAGCTAGGCTTAGTTTGCTCAGTCGGTGCTAGAACTTTCGGTTTCCTTGGTTCGCGGTAGTGAAGTTGTGTTGGCCGGTGAGTTGTTGTTTGTTGGAGCATGCAAGCACGAGCACCGTGGGGTGGATACATGTAGACTGGCGCCAGAATAGATTGGACGACAACCAACACACACACGTATGTGTGTCTACCATGTTGAGTATGCATTTCAGTGGAAACCTGAGCCATCTGTCCCGTTACTTCCGAGATTGGCAATGGTCGCATCCCTATCGCCTGAACCCGCTGCCTCGCGAGCGTTCCTTGAACGTTTGTAGCAGGCGTCCATCCCGTACCCCATACTGTGGCACTGCTTGGCGAAGCACAATTACTCGTCTAGCGGAGAGAAGAGCTTGAGCACGTAGCGCGTTTTCTCTCGTAACCTGGCCACCTGTGCTCTCTTCCGTCTGCTTCCTGCAGCTGGACCCAACTCGCAGCGAAATCTTCCGTGGTTTGGGGGGGGCTTATCAGAGCCAGGGGCAGCACCAGATGGCCTTCGCAAGCTACCAGCAAGCGATTAACCTCGCCCCCTGGGACCTCCTGGCGTACCTTAAACTCGGGATGTTGTACGAAGACCTGGTGAGAGGCGGGGCGTGGCATGGGGGGTCGTTTGCCCTATTTTTAGGTAGACGTGTGTCGGAGATTCAGTTCAAGAGCTGGAAAGGCGCGAGGTTGCTTTGTTGTACATGATAAGGTAAAGCTCGTGAGGCTCTGGCCCTTCGCCCAAGAGCCGTGTCTGGCGCCTCGGCACTTTGGCACGCGTGGTGCTTAGAACGTTGTGCGCTATCCAGATTGTGCGCACTCTTGTAGTATCGAAACCTGAAAGCAGCGAGTGTTCCGTGCAGTACCGGGTGTGCTGTCGAGTGTGGATGTCTTGTCGCTTCTCTCAATTTATTCACTTGACCGTGTCCTGTGCCCCGCGGTGTCGCACTGTGCCGCCCAGGCCGTGGGTAAGTACGAAGAGGCCGGGGACCATGCCATCCGGTGCTTTCAGTACTACCTGCAGCACTCTGGCAGCGAGGACACGGACGTTCTCACGAGACTTGGAAACTTGCAGGTGTGTCACAGAAAAATGTACTTCGTGCTGCCGACGTGGTGTCACGTGTTCCACACTCGATACAGCAGTAGCTTTGGTATGACTGCTCTACCAACACGGTCCATTTGTCGGATACAACACGCTCGAATCTCTCTAAATTAGACGTTTTTGTCCAATATCTGTTACCACACGTTTTGACAAATCTTTGTGTTGGCTTCATCACACGCTTTTTCTGCCAGTAGGGTCGACCGCACCCCCTCCCGTCACCACTACCCTTTCGACACCTGGCAATAGGCTTTATTCAAATTGTCTTTTCCGTGAAATTGCAGGAAATTCATCCCTCTCTCGGCGCACCACAGGTCGCCATTTTTTCTTTCACTTGGAATTAGACTGACGGGTCTCCTCTCTCGGCGCACCACAGGCCAGGATTTGTTTCCAGGTCTGCCATCTCGTTCTTTGCTCTCCCTGCCACTTCAAGTGCAATCGACCGAGGCCGTTGCCGCTGTCGTCGGTCCCTCTGCACCCAGTGCTTTCGGGCCCTGCACTCCCAGTCAGTGCTTCAATTAGTCAGGGCTCCCGTTTGGCGCAGCATTCTGCACCTCGCACACTCACTCCCTCGTTATTTGCACTTGTCGATCAGCAGTCATCCTCGCATGCCCCGCAATCAACCATCATCGGTGCTGTCATCGACGTCATCACCCACGCATTTCCCCGAGCAGATATCCCTCTCTTTCCGGGTCCCTCTCTTTCTCTCTCTCTCCCACGCTCTCTCTACTCTCTTCCTCTCTCATTCTCTCTCTCATGTGTTACATACAGCAGTAGTTACCTGCTCCGTAGTCCAACAACTCAGTCGCTCGGTGACAATCTTCTCGTTTCAATGAGTAATTTTCAAGTCTGCAGTCATCCAATATTATAGCTCAGTCTCAGTGAAATCCATGTATGTGTGCGCACACGCGGGATTCATGTGTACGCACACATAGTGGAATCCACATAGCAAATGCATGTGTACCACACACTGCAATCTATGTGTACGCACATGCAGGATTTGAGTCTTTGATGTGTCTGCAGTCATGCGCTGCGCGGGCCAGATATAGCACGCACACACAGGAAGGCACGGAGAAGCGGGATTAATTCGATCAGTCGTCGTCAGGTCGTCGCCTGTGCAATCGCAAGATATCAACCCCAAGATACTAGTATGACAACCATGGGTGACGCTGCTTCTCGACGCCGCCCGCACACGTTCGGTTGCACGCACACGCTCCTCACTCCTCAAGCTCTCCCACATGACACTCTTACCCAGCCTTTGTTGAGTATCTCTCCTGCTCTTCTCTTTCGTAGATGTCGGAAAGGCGCAACAAACATCTTTCAGACGGTTGCCTCTCCCGGCAGTAGCGCCAAGCGCAAAACTTCCGACTACGTATTTGGCGAAGTCCTCGGGAAGTGTGTACACAAACGACGATTGTGACGGGGCCGACTTGACTCGTTGCTGCGCGACCTTCGGCGGTTGCGCGAATTACGCCAAGAACGGCTGTATGATTTCCGTGTTATCACTGGCATCTCCCTGAACTACCTACTACCTACCTAGTCGACATAACCACCGGGATCCCCTGCCTCGGCGTCCCCAACCCTGCTGCACCCATTTCGGGGTATGCTTATTTTAACTGGTGTTGTGTAGCCACCCGTCGTTCCGTAACTTTTGACGATTTGTTTCTGGGGGTGTCCCTGGCATAGCCCGTCAATCAGATTGTCGTTCGGTTCGAGGTTCGTTTTCATTTGTTTTAGCCGTGGTTCACGTTAGAAATTCATTTCACCAACATTGGGAAAGGCACATCACACGCAAACATCACGTGACAAATTCCTCTCGGGACCGGTGAAAAGCTGCGACATTGTATGCATTCAGCCGGTCATGCCAAAACACATGAACGTCGTCGGGAAAAGCACGTGACACAAACATCATTTCCTCG